AGAATCAACCAAGTAAACAGAAGAAGATGCATTATCATTCATATCGACACTCAGTACAAAGAGACCTTGATTACAGTAACCCTTCCCCACAAGAACATTGTTCTTTGTCATCACAATTTTGTCAGACTCAAATGACACTTTCACCCCAGCCTTTCCCAAGAGAGCCACAGAAATTAAATTTGCTCTCATATCGGGCACGTACAGAACATCATTTAGCACTAGAGACTTCCCAGATGTGAGTTTCAGCACCACTTTTCCCTTTCCCTGAACCTTTGCAGTTCGGGAGTCAGCGAGATAAATTTGATCTTCCCCTTCTTCGAAGGAGGTATACATTTCCCTGTTTGCACATATGTGCTTGGTAGCCCCAGAGTCTACCACCCATTTTCTCACATCAGAGATGAGGAGGGCCTGAGAAAGCATTGCAGCAATTACTTCATCATTGTCGCTGTCATCTCCTTCAACCAAATTCACATTTGGCTTGGGAGGATTTTCATCCTTTTGAAAACTTCCCTTAGCCCTCTTCCTGCACTGTGCTGCATAATGTCCAGGTTTGCCACAAACAAAACAATTGCCCTTCTTCTTGAATTTGGAGTTAGTGCCTTTGGGTTTGTAATCAGGTTTCTTATTTTTCTGTTTCTTTGAGTTAGGGTCGTACCTCTTGTTGCGTGGTTTTGTTTCCACTAGGTTTGCTTTGGCAGCCATCTCTTTCTCTTTCGCTGCTTGTATTGTCCTTCTGTTGGTATCTTCAATGATGATGTGAGTGATCAAGCCGGTAAGCGACAATTGTTTCTGTTTATGCTTGAGTTGTTGTTTGTAGTTGTTCCATGAGGTTGGTAGCTTTTCAATCAGGACCCCAGCGATGAACTCGTCAGGAAGATTGATCTTTTCAGCCCGAAGTTCCTCCAGTAATTTGTGGTATTCATTGATTTGAAGCTTGATGTCTTTGTCATCGGTCATCTCCCACCTATAGAAGTTTCCGACCACAAATTTCTGCTTCCCAGCGTCCTCAGCAGTATATTTGAGAACCAATGATTCCCATATTTGCTTGGCCTCTTTGTAGACGCTGTAGATGTCAAACAGATCATTAGAGAGTGTACTGATCAAGGTGTGCCTGCATACTTTGTTGGCCTGGTGCCACATATCCTTCTGTCCTTGATCAGCATCTGCAGCAGGTTCTGATTGAGTTAGCGCATTGACAACTCCATGCATGTCCAGAATTGTGTAGACACGTTCTTGCCACCGCCTAAAGTTGCTTCCATCAAACATTTCTATCTTGGATGTGTCAGGGAATGGCCTAGCAAGCGGTATGGCTGCCGGGACGTTCAGGGGAACGCTGACAGGAACAGCACTGGAGCCAGCAGCATCGTTGTTTGCAGCCATTGTTCAGGGTATCTCTCAAGATTGTTGGCGGCAGCAAATGAGGAATAGCAAATCCGGTTCGAGTCGCGTCACAAGGACACTGTCCTTGAGAGATATTCCGCAACCCCTCGGTGTAACAGGCAGTGGCACTCCCCAGGATCAAACGAACCCTTCCTGCGAAGCAAGGTAGCAGAACAGCGAAAGCAATTGTAACAGCAAACACCCGTGGGAGAGAAGAGGAAGAGGATGGAATAGCGTCTCTTCACGCTGCCTGGACAGTCCCTTATATAGGCGCGAATGGCCACATCACCGGAGGACGCATCCCTCTGTTTCGCCGAGCGGGTACGACTAAAGCAACGTAAGGTTCCGTTGGAGACGGAACGACGCGAACGTTGGTGCACACAACGTTCGCCTACACCCCGCGAGACGCGTCCGGTCGGCCACAAAACGAAACAGTAAGCCTCTTGACTTTTAACAGGTCCAAAATAAGGCTTTTCTGGTAAGCATAATTTTATTAAAAAATATTCAACAAAGTTTAAAATAATTTTCGTAAAATGAGGCTTTACCGCGTTTAATTCACGCGTAGGGGGGGAAATCGCCGGTTTACAACTGCGTTTCCCTCCTGGTGGCCTGTTGTTGTGTGCGCGAGGCCCACTTCCCTCTTGGCCCATTTACCCCCCCAAGGATGCTTGATCTCATTTATACACTTAGACTTCTTCTCATCTTTCCCATGTGGGACTTTATTTGACACACATATTGCATTATTTCACAACAAGCTAGACGAGGTAACACTATCATGGAAGATATTATTTCCTTCTTGCCCTTGTTTTCTCAAAAAAAAAGTTGAAGTTATTAATTAGCTCCTTTTCTGTATCTTTTTCTGATTTATTTTCTGGTTACCCATTGTCAAGTAAGACTATAATGCTAGTGCAAACTATATCTTCTATTACCTTCAATTCTTAATATAAGAGTTAGTTTGATTTTCAATTTGAATTTAAATATAATACCCTAATCAACTTTGTCTGCAATATTTATTCATTTTGCTATCAAATAATCCCTATAATGATTGTATATATTAAGGAGTGACTATCAATTTATAATTTAAATACACATGATTAATAAGAGTATTTTAAAAAGACAACATATATTTACTACAAATAACTAACTTAACTAATTTCCTTAATCTTTTCAAATTAATCAATTAGGTCTTATACTCCTCCGGTCTTTAATATATGACTTAATTGTTGAGTTGGTTTTGGTCCTAAATATAAAAGCTATTTCTCATATTTATCAATTTTTTCTAAATTACCTTTATAGATACTCCTTCAACTATAATTAAATAGAAGATGGAGAGGGGGTACTAAGAAATATTATTATGGTGTTTTAAGAAAAAACATGTCATATTTTTTATAATTAACTAACTTACCTAATTTTCTTAATCTAATCAAATTAGTTAAATAAGTCTTATTTTAAAGATAGGAAGAGTATCAAAGATAAGAGGCAGTATTTAGGAGTTAAGACTAGTAGAGATAATTTTTTTTAATATAAAAATAATACTACTTTCGGTAGAGCTTTGTTTGTAGAACTCAGCTGCCTACCATGGCAATTTAGGATGCGAGAAGCATTTGACACTGACGGTATAATTTTTTTTGCCAATTAAATGTCCATCACAAAAATCTTTGGGTCTCCCGCGCAACGAACCCATCTCGTCCACAGCGTCTAGCTAATGAGCTTCTTATTTGCAGGGTACCCTTTACCGACAGTTCACAACCAATACGATCAAAACGTAACAAACCTCCTCTTATGGTGGCGCCGTCTTTACAGGCGTCACCTTCGACTTTGTTCCCGTAAACTCCACCGGTTCTTCCACTGGAAATGCCGTTGATGGTTGCGATTACTCTTCGTTCTCGGTATAATCTTCTTTCCCCTACCACTCAGCACGCATGATAAATGAGTAGCTGGTTTCGAGCGAGCATTTTCATATGACTACGTGTAATCACGTGTTGAATACATATTTGAATTCTCTAATTTGCTTACCCGAGCCCCAAGGCAAGTGAGAACTAGTTTGGCCTCCGCCCGGACTGGCAGATCAAATTTATTTAAAATTTCTGAAGTTTTTGGTTCTCTAGAGAGTATCCATTATATTTTCCATTTGCCATCTCTTTTCCGTTATTAGATTTATTGGCTAGCTGCTGAACAATATATTAAATGGCTTTTAGGACCAAAGATTCCATGGCTAAGAATTAGATTTCTATTCTTATATCCTTACTATTTGTCTAATAGGTTCCATATTTAAATGTAACGAGTAGACAAGTTTTCCTTTAAAGCATGACAAGTGAATAGTCTAATGGAGGAATCATCAACTTGCCTGGAAAACAGACGCTTCTCATGGCAGAGAAACTTAATTGCAGAGGTATTAACTATTAAGGAACTTTTTATCAAAAGTAAAATAAAATGAAATGAAAAAGTTATTAGGAACTACATTCAAGTCTTTCCCGTGTATAAAAGGTAGTTATATTATAGCTCACCGCTGTTGGAGCAGCACAAGGGGACTTCCTTATTTGCTTCTCATTTAGCTCCATGATTTTCTGCTTTCTTGAATGACTTGAGTAGTTGCTGGCTTGCCATTGAAGAGGGGATTTTTTTTTCCCTTTTATTTTTAGTTTTATGTCTTACACAATGAAGCAAGAGACCATTGCATATGCTTAATATCTTAAATAAATTCTAATTCTGAATATGTCCTTTGAGGTATGGTCTTACTCAGTGATTATTCCTTTGATGATGTCTTCATATCTCGGATGATCGAATAAACAATCAAATTATTACGCTTTAACATGCTTAACATCATAAATAAAGTCAAATATTAAATATGCTCTTTCTGGTCTTGATGATCGCCAAAATTACTCTTAGACTTTGCCATTGAAACTAGAGATTTTAGCTTTCTAAGTGCCCTAGGGCTAACATATGACGTAGATTGATGTTGAAGGAAACTCGATGAGTTCTGCTTTAATTTTCTTTAATTTAATTTTTTTGGAGTTAAAAGCAAGAAATCCACTAATGATAAAAGCTAGAGTACATGTCGGAGTAAGAGTTTGGTTGCCTTGTGATTAGTGAGCTTTGTAGTAAACTTTTGTCAAGTTGTTATCACGTGTGAGAGGTTGTTTCTATCCTGAGACTCTCGATGAGTAACTTTGTAACCATAGTTGTCATTAGTATTGGTATTTCTAAAAGTTTGGCCCACAAAGTGCTGTAATAGCAGTGTCAGCTAATTTGCCCAAATGTAGTTCATTTCAGGAAACTTTCTTTTGCAACATTCTCAGGACTTTTGTTGCTCATAATAATAATTAGCATCAACTTTATTAAATCACCCTACCCCAAGCCTCTCAGAGACCTTTAATTTTGTCACCGACAATGACAACTTTGTAAGACTGAACAAATTGATCCGTTTTCAATGCTAGATTTTTGCGGGTTTGAATTTGATTTCAGTCCGTCTAATTGAAGCATGAGACTTTACCTACAAATCAAATGAAACTGTTGGAAATGTCTTCTTCTTCCTCTTGGTGTTCTTTTTTTTTTTTTTAATTTAAAATTCACGTTGAAGTACGTGCAAGAGTCGGTGAGCTTTGCAATATTCTGTATTTCAGAAACAAATGTGTCCATTCAAAGAAAAATTCAGGAAAAACAAACAAATAAATAGTAAGAGTTTACATGAATGAAACTGTAACATGTTGACATTCCCAAATTTATTTATTGCTACTACAACAATAATGTCTCTGTTTTTTCAATAATAGACACTCCGCATATTGCAGATACATCCCCACCTATTGCTGATTATATGATAACTATATTAGGATTTGCACAAATGAAAGTAAACAACTTCTTAATGTGGAAGGAATTGTTTGGAGGATTATAAGTAGGTTCTATTTGATCAAGGAAGAGTCATGCTTAAGTAGGTTCAGTCTATAAAAGATAGATAAACCAAACTAATTAGGAAGAGACATGTAAACAATTCAGTCATACTAGTGGGGTGCATTCTTTATATGTTTACATACTTCTACTTATCTTTTATAGATTGAATCCGCATGAGAATCTCCCATCAAGGAGTAGTTGTCTGTGAAGAAGAAGGGGGGTTACCAGGGCTAGGCGGTGGGAATAATGGAGGGAAAGGAAATGGAAAGACTGGTGCAGGAGGAGGAGGCGGCGGTGGAGATGGTGTTAAACCAGGTATTGGTGGAATAGGAAGCAATGGTGATGGGCTTGATGGTGGAGGTTTGAATGGGTTAGGGATCAGTGGTGCTGGGCTTGCAGGTGGTGGCTGAAATGGGTTGGGGATAAGTGGTGCTGGGCTTGCAGGTGGTGGCTGAAATGGGTTGGGGATCAGCGGTGCTGGGCTTGCTGGTGGGGGTTGAAATGGGTTTGGGATGAGTGGTGGAGGACTTGGTGGCTGAAATGGGTTTGGGATGAGTGGTGGCCTTGGTGGCTGAAATGGGTTAGGGATTAGGGGTGGTGGCTGAAATGGGTTTGGGATTAATGGCGGTGGCTGTAAGGGGTTTGGGATTAAGGGTGGTGGCTGTAAGGGGTTTGGGATTAAGGGTGGTGGCTGTAAGGGGTTTGGGATTAAGGGGGGCAGGATAGGAGGGATCAAGGGAGGCAGGATAGGAGGGAACAAGAAATCAGGGTGGGCTACCTTCTCATCTGAAGACTGAGCTTTTTTGGTCTCTTGATCATTTTTTGGGATTGGTGGTAGTGGAATTCCTATAACAGGTGGCAGAGGAGGAAGTAGAGGCAATGGTGGAAGCTCAGGTACTACAGGAAGAGGAGGAAGATTTGGAAGACCGATGGGGGTGGTTGGATTCTGAAGTGGAGGAGGAAGCAAGTTTGGAGGGAACCCGGTTTTTACAGAATTAAATTCCTTTGAGTTTTGACCACTACTTGGATTGTGGTTACAACGATCTGGCTGTTGAAGGGGCTTGAATGAGAAAAACCCGGCTGAGAATGTGTGTTCTCTTTGGTTTCTTGACTTGAGACCGAGTGAAGAAGAAGTTGCTGCTGAGGCCACTGAACAGTGAGGCTCACTGCTTTTCATCAGTTTTACAGTACACCCTTTGATTCTCTTCACATGTTTACTCACTGAAAATGGAAGCTCAACTCTGAACTCGCCATGCTCATTAGTCCTTACTTCTTTCCAGAATCTTGGCTTTGAATCCCCATTTTCGCATTCTACAGCAACTGATGCACCTGCACAAACGAACACACATTAGGTAGCCATTTCTTGGTTGGCTTGAGCCAGTCCAAAGGGCTAATACTTGTTAACAGGGAGAACCTCAACTGTTAAGTATCGTTTTTTGTTTTAATGTTAACATGGAGCACAAGGATATGCCTGAAGTAAGGGGAATAGATAGGATGAAAAAATTGGAAGAGGAATTTCAATTTGGACATTTTCTTTTATTTGGATTCATATAAACAATTTTCCTTCAATTTTCATAAATTGTCCTCAATCTAAGTTTTCTACAGAAACCAACAAAATTTGCTAGCTTCAAATCCAACTCAAATAAAATGTACATTTTCTTTATAGAACGAAAAGTTTGACTTGAGAGAGTTAATCTTGCAACAAGAAAGCTAAGCAGCTGAAATTTTACCTGCAATGAAGTGGCTGTTCCTGGAGAAATCATGCTGGAAGCATGTGTCACAGTAGACAGTGCCAACAACAAATGGTGTAAGAAGATTCTTGTCATGGCCGGCCTCTGAGAGGCCACTAAATGTGAGATTGAGAATCAGAACTACTAGGAACCAAGACATTCTTCCTTCAATTCACTGAAAATCTGCCTATGAGGAAAGAAAGATTAAACACTTTGCTTTTATATAAATAGTGAAAGACTACTTATCCTTCAATACTGGACTCCCTTATCTTCTCTCTGTCCTTTCTTGCTTTCTGTGAGAGGGAAAATAGGACGCAAACTTTCATACGAAGCCCTACCCTTGATGGGCTATTTATGCCAATCATGCAAAGTTAGCCACAGATTCTGATGGAATTGTTTGAAAAATGACAAATCCTACAGTTGGGTCCCTGCAGGTTCACGAGACCAAGAAAGTGGCCACATATTCTGTAAGTTCATGAGACACGGCTGATGATGACAAAAGACAAAGGAAGTAGACAATATTTTATACTGAGGTTGCTATCATATTTGTCTCTAAAACAAATAAAAATACTCATTAATTTTGTCGATGTTTTCTTTACCAAGTTGAGGTAAAAATTGAAATACTTTCTTCTTTAAAATGTTGGCTAAAATCTTGATAGGAAATTTTTAAAGAATGAATTGATATGAGGGGCCAATATAAGTAATGGAATGCAAACATAGAAGTTTTATTTGCTTAAGTTTTATTACTCATGACTCTAAGTTTAGGAAGGTAGCACATAATATAAAATTTAAGGCAGTTAGCTGTAAAAAAGAATATAAGCGGGTAAGCAACCCCAACTTATTATACTATTCCAGTTCTAAATATAAGACTCATTTCATAATGTAAATCACACTACAAAATAAGTCTTATATTTATGATTGGAAGAGTACTACACAAGAGAAACAACAAACTAATTGGGATTATTTGCACGATTTCAAAAATTTTTGTGGATTTTTTTTGTCTAGTTTTAATGGTTAGATTTGTTTGTACGGAAGGTAAAATTTAGGGAAGTTTTATATAATTGAGTCAAATTGGAATGATGTCTTGTATTAAATATTGGCTAAAATTATGATAACAAACCTTCAGGGAATGAATTGATCATGATACTAATAGGGTGCAATATGATTAACTTTATCGGGTCTTTATAACATCAACCAACTTAAAGAATTGCTTTATTGACTTTCTATGTCAGGTTCACACGGGAAGTAGACAGCAAACGATGTTGGCGGCATGATATGCGCCCCTCTGAACCCAGTTTCCGCGTGTAAGCATCATGGGAAACTGATATGCATAGGAGGATTTCGTATGTATTCATGTGGTAACAGTTTTGCTTTCATGTGAGGATTATACTTTGAGTTGGATTTGTGGTCAAGTCTCTTGCAGTTGCAGAGGAGAGAGAAGAATAACAGTCTTGGGAAAAATGATAAGTGGGCAAAACTTGGGGAAGTTCATAGCAAGATATGTATTAGAATTTGATTTTTCTTGAACATTCAGTTTTGATATCATCTCATTTATGGCCTATGGTCAACAAGCGGTTGGTTGATTGGTCTTGATGCTACATGAAAGGTCTTGCACCTGAATATATATGACTTTTGATCTTCCCCGGTGGGATGCGGTAATAGTTATCCTCTTTGTATTTTTTTTTTCTTTTTCAAATTGTAGCTTTAAGTTTTTAAAATTTTTTTTAAAATGGTGTTGCACCATATGTTCACTCACCTGTGACCCCAGGTGGCAATTGTTTGTGTGTGTTGACATGCTATTTTGTGGTCGGCCTCATTTACTTGTTTATGCACACCCGTATTTCCAGATCTAATTGTTTATACAAGTTGATGGAGATGAAAATATCGAGGTTATAAAAACTAGGCTGATGATTGAAGCCCGTAAGGCAATGCTTGAAGAATTAATGGTTGGATTGTGTATATTATAAATATATATATTATAAAAACAATGCTTATCATATACCTTATACAGTGCAAGAATATAACTTATGAGGAATATGTATATAATTATAAATTTATTGTTTTTATAATATATACATATACACACATATTAGTTTTGACATTTTCTCGTTGGCTTTTCTTTTAATACTCACATAATGTGTGGATATATTAAATGTAGCTTAGAAGCATGATTCAAAAAATTTTAAAACTTAAAAAAAAAAATTTGACTAGTTCAAACTGGGTTGTAGTTCCTTGGAAGAAGAGACAAATTCCTGATAGCATAAACAAGAAAATGAAGCGGACCAGAAAATCAAAGTAGCATTAGGATTATCAGAACCATTGCATGCGGTTTTTTAAGTGACAAGATAGACATGAAAATTAAATACTATTGAAGTTCTTTTTTAAAAAAATATTTTTATAGGGATTAACTGGATTAAATAATGGGGTACTTGCCTATTCACTCATATTATCTATTTGATGCAGCTGCAAATCAAGTAAATAATATTACCTCTTGTCTTTAATATAAGATCTAGTCTATTAATTTGAGAAGATTAAAAAAATTAGTTATGTTAGTTATTTGTAATAAATAGATGTTGCCTTTTTTAGAATGCCTTTGTTAATCATGTATATTAGTTAAACTTTCATTTGATAAAATATTCAATATATGTAACTATTACAAATACTATTTAAAAAAAAGAATAAATATAAAAGATAAAGGGGATTGGAGTTTTATATTTAAAACCAGATTAAAAATTAAACTAGCTTTTATATTAAGAACCTAGTAGTTAAAAATCCAGTTTGGTCAAATCTTAGCAAAAGAACTATATATTAAGGGGAAAACATGGGAGAAGGTGATGGAATCGATGTCCATGACAAACATTAATTTGGTGCTCTAAAAAAACAATCGTTTAATTCCACTAAGGAAACTAGAAAAGTTTAGCTTCTGATAAAAGCTGTAATTAATTTTCACGTGACTGATCAATAATAATATATTTGATCTTTCATGGTCAATAATCAGGATCAGATATTATAGAGATTATTTAATATGCTTGACAATTGTAAATAAGTTTATGGGTTCATACAAATTTTAGTCCCTCAAATTTAGGCCCAATTTGGTATTGGTCTTTGAAATTTAAAACGTGTGTATTGGTCCCTGAAATTATGTCTGTTTCAGACCGTTGGTCCCTGGCATCTTAGCACCTTTAAATTTTGCTGACGTGACGTTAACACCGTTAAACTGATGAGTTGGCATATGACCTGGACATGATATTGGTCCCTCAAATTTGGGGCCATTTTGGTGTTGGTCCTTGAAATTTAAAACTGATGGTATTGGTCCCTCAAATTATATCTGTTTCTGGTCTTTGGTCCCTAATAACTTTAGGCCCTCCTCTTTGTATCTGTTCCTGTAGAACCCTCTGCTTTGCTATTATCTGGTCTCAGCGACTCTGGTGGCTTGCTGGTCGTGCCTGCCTTTTTGTTGGAGTTGCCGGTGAGGTTCTTGTTGCTTCTTCTCAAGCTTCTTACTCTGGTAATGAGCTTCTCTTTTTTCTTGGGAAGTTCATCATTGTCTGTACTAGAAGAAGATGGCTTCAATGAGAGTGGTTTTGTATCTGAAGCCGGTTCTTCTTCTCATGAACTGTTAAGTCACTTTTTTGGCCAAAGGTAGCAGAGGAGATAGAAGGTTTAGCTGAGAATACACTGGTTTCCTCCACACTAATATAGGAGCAAAAGCTCTGTGTGTTTGACAAAAGTGAATCCTAATTGCATAGATTCTCTTTGACCATAGCCTTCCATTGCTCATGCCACATCATCAAGTTTTAGTTGCCAAGTCAAATGCCATATCATAGGTTAACAAAGTTAGAGCCAACTCAGACAAATTTGATGGCACAAACCTATCAAGAACCAACGGCCAGAAACAAATATAATTTGAGGGACCAATACCAAAATGACCTCAAATTTGAGGGACCATACCATGTCCAGGTCATATGCCACCTATATGCCAACTCATCGGTTAATGGTGTTAACGCCACGTCAGCAAAATTTAACGATGCCAAGGGACTAACGGTCTGAAACGGACATAATTTGAAAGACCAATATCCACACGTTTTAAATTTCAGAGACCAATACCATATTGGGTCCAAATTTGAGGGACCAAAATTTGTATTAATCCTAAATTTATTCAAAAAATCAGAAAATATTAAAGCTTTGTTTTATTAATGGCTTCCGACATGTGGAACTGTTTCAGAAGGTTCCCAAGAGAATCATTACTGTTTGTTTTTCATTTTCTAGTTACTGACGTCTTAACTAACTTTACCTTGCAAGATTTGTAGTAAAAAGTAAAAGCATATCATATAATATTCATTGGCATATTCTTAGTATCATTAATAATATTATTTAACGATTTTTTTAATTCCAAGATCTTGAATGTTTTTCCCATTTGTACCAAACATTTTGTGCATAAAACGTTTTTATTAAGATAGTAATGATTTTTGTAATAGATATACAGGCCATTTGTTTTCTTTGTTTTATTTTCTCGTTGGATATTTCAAAATTTATATAAAATACTAATGTTTTACTTTTGTATGTTCAGATGTGGTGATAGTTTAACATGTGTCTTTTTGAATCAAAATCTTTATGAACTTACAATGAATTGGTTGCCTTCCCTTATATAATCATATTGATTATTGATTGTGTATACGCTTACTTTTTTACTACCTCCGGTCCTAATTATAAAACCCAGTTGACTTATTTGAAGAGATTAAGGAAGTAAGTTAAGTTAGTTATTTGTAATAAATAAGTGTTGCCATTCCTAAAATATCCTTGCTAATTAAGTGTATTGGCTTAGAACTATCATTATTAGAAGGATTATTTTGAAAAAAATGTATAAATATGAGAGATAAAATGGATTGGGGGTCTTATAATTAGGACCAAACAAAAAGTCAAGGGATCTTATAATAAGGACCGGAAGTAGTATATTAATTTATACAAAATGTTGCAAGTACAGCAAGTGAAAGGGTTCACTTGGTATAAAACATGATATCTCAATTTATTTTATTTCTCAAATTTATAATCTGTTCTTTAAATTACGCCTATTAATTATACTTATTAAATGGATTTTTTTTAAGGTAGCCTCTCATATAAATAATTAAAATAATATTTTTTTTAAATGAAATGAGAAGGCAAGCCCTAGCTTGGAGAATACAAAGTAGGGAATGTCTCCAAACAATAAAAAGCAAAGTCCTAACATAGTGCCGCTCCTATTATCTGCGAAGCCATTACAGAAGTTTGGAGGGTTAAAATAATATTCTAGAAAACCAATACATACTTCTTATAAATAACTAATTTAACTAATTTTTTTAATTTCTATAAATTAGTTATTTAGTTTTTATAATGAAAAGAGTGGCATCTTTTCATATGTGAGTCACTCAGGCATTTTTAATTTTTATTTTCAATTTGTCTGTGATAAGCTGTAAATCTATATATCTAATAATATTGTAAAAGGAAGTCACTATTATAAAATTTTTTTATTTGACATATTTTTATTTATATTGGACTCTGTTTCTTATCACTTTCTTCTTCTTCTTTTTTGTCATTTTTCTTAATTAAATTTCATAATGCGTGACCCTAATTTCTCAAAAGTTCTTTTCAATTTTATGGGCTCCTATCTGGTTAATATGAAAATGGATCTCAATAATTGTTAAGGATAATAAAAATAAAACCCCCTGAGCAGTTAAAAAGTCCAACTCCAGAGGGTATTAACAGTAAAATTGATTCAGAATCTTGAAATAAGGTAAAAAAATTGGAATCTTTTTATAGTCTACATCATCAAGTTAATTGCCAAACCTTGCTTTCTTTCTGTTACCCGTAAATTTAGAATTTAGAATCGTCAATTCTTTCTTTTTAAATAGGGTTTACTTTCGGTATGTAACAAGTAAACTATGCTTCCTTTTAATGTCATTTTGTTTTTGTTTTTTTTGTTTTAAAAAAAGGAAGGTGGTTAGCTATTACTCATATTTACTTGGTTCAGCATGCTTGAGTAAACACCAAAAATGGAGAAACTATATAAAAACAAAAACAGAAAAAAAAATTGTATGGAATCTTTCTTTTTTCCTGGACTATGATATTAGACCGAAATAAAATAAAATAAAATTGAAGTTGCAGTAATGAAATGACGCATAGCTCATAAAAATATTTACTCGAATTTTATCCTTAATATGAGAACCTTCTCAATGAGTAATATGTAAATATATTTATCAAAATGCTTTAAATTGTTTTATTTTGTTGGGTTTTCATTTTTCCACATTCAGCTCACATAAATTTTTTAGATTTAAAAAAAAAAAAAAAAGAAAGTGGCCGTGGAGAAAGGTTTAAGAAGATTATTGCCAAAGTCGCTATCGGAATGTAGGAAGTCACTTTCTTCAATTCACGGGTTCACAAAAGGGTTCGTTCACGGACGACGGTTTCGGGTGTTCAATCAAAGAAGGCTCATCAATGATTGAAATCTCAAGATAACAAGTGGGGTTCATATTTCTCCTCTTCTTTTAGATTATGTGTTCACATTCTTCCACACAGTACATTTCTTAAGCTACTTCGCAAGCCTTTAGTAATGCCCTTTTTTTTCCCCTGTTTTCTTTGATTGCAATTATTTTAATCTTTTTTTCACCAGAAAATTATTATTGAGCTCAATCATGAGCGACTTTATAAAAACCGTTTTCTGCATTCAACTTAGGTACCGTTTGGGTGACACCCCAAACCATGGTTTGGGTGATAAGTCATCCAAACACCCACCCAATTTGCACAAATCATGGTTTTGGAAAAAACAAAATTTTTTTGCTTTTAGAGAAAAAAGGGAGAGTGTGAGAGCCTATAGGATATGTATCTTGTTATTTTTTTAATAAACATATTTAATCTTATATTTTATAAATATATATACATATTAATTATTTACTAATTATATTATCTTATGTATTATTAATTATGTTAATAAAAAATATTATTAACAATTTTATTCCTTCAAATTAAAATATATCATAAAATCTATTTTTCTGTAATTATCATATTAACTTATGTCTTTTTTTTAGTAATTTGTATATATAAAAAGTGCTTCTGATAACAACTATCCAAACACTCTCATTTCTCAAAATCACTTTTTCATAAAATTTATTCTTCCCAGAATCTATTCTCCAAAATCACTTTTCCAAACCACGGTTTGGTTTCATCCAAACACACCCTTAAAGTCTTTTGTTTAAACAGTCATAGCCTTTCTATTAATATCAACATCTATCAACTAATACTACATTCGGACTTTAATATAAGATATTGAAGACCTTATTTATAATTCAATACGAACTACAGACTTGATCTTTTAAAGATTAGTAATATGCTATTTATCTTTTAGATATTAAATCTATTTTTTATGATTTTCTACTCCTCAATATCATCTATTACTCTAATGTATTTTATAGTTGGCTCAATTAAACGTGTCATTTTAATCATTATGATCAATTTTTAACCTAAATCTAATTGTCTCAAATATAAGACCTGTTTCTTATATCTATCAATTTTTCCTAAATCACTCCTATTAATACTCCAATTATAATCAAGTATGAGAGATAAGGAGGATATAATGAAAATGATTAAAGTATTTTAAGAAAAATATGTCATATTTATTATAGTTAACTAACTTACCTAACTTCTTTAATCTAATCAAATTAGTTAAATAAATCTTATATTAAGAACTGAATGAGTATTTTATACGTTATGTTTTTGGTATCAGGTCATTACAATTTCTTATTATTCCCAATATTGTCCATTTAGTCAAAGACCCACATGACACTGTCTATAAAGCCCACACGTGATAACACGCACTTTGGGCATAGTGCTAGCCACATTTTCTTCCTCCCCAGATCCTCCTAATAGTATTGAAGCAATTTTAATTTAATTATTTATACCTCTTGCCAGTGACATCTATTGAAGAAGATGGTAGAAAATCATTTAAAGTGGTCTAAAATATGCAAAGAAGGCTATTGAAGACGTTAAAAAAGAGAACAACATAGAACAAAATTGAAAAGAACACTTAATGATGTCATCTGGGAACTTTTTGATTAGCAATTTATCTAAAAATGTACTTATTAGTAGGATACAATTATGTCGTGCAATTCATATAACTCACCTGATACAGTAAAATAAGACTTCTAGTGCACCTTTTGCTATTCTATTTGAATTCCAAAAGTGCCCAATTTTGTTACCTTTATCTTGAATGTTGATGTTAGTACCCCGTTTAACATTGTCACAATTGTATAAGCTTGACTAACCAAGACTTTAACTAACTTCAGTGAGCTCCACGAGGATTGTTCTACTCATATTTGCCTGTTGATCAAGTATGATATGCCAAGATGACATCTTTAAATTAAAAACTTCATTAGATTTCAATTTAAATTCTCATGATCTCTTTGGGATAGTCTGATATATTCCTATACCATATTTTAGCCTCCAGGCATTATCAAATGAAATATAATGTTTTGAGTCACATGGTTTTGCTCAATTGAAGCACAAAGATGATTCTATAAAGTGACAAAATAGACGGAAATACAGCTTTCAAGCTTAGCCGCTTGCTTAGACTATGACTTGAATGAGATCCTATGCGGATCTAATGTGATGCTGTGAAAAATACAAAGTCTGACATTTAATATAATACCAAACAAAACAAGAAATACTAACAGAAGCTATTGAAACCTTTGGGGGAAAAAATAGTCACAGACAAAACAATTTTATTGGGTCATATTTATCATTTCTTCATTATTTAATCATACATTCTATTTTCATTATTTTACAATAAAAACACAAGCATTATTTTATATGTAATTTATTGATTTATTTTATTTTATCCTATTCTTTTCTGCTACTCCAAACATAATTTAAATGCTTTGTTATATTTACATATCGTCGTGCACAAATACAACATATATTCTATGCGTCAATACTTTCAAAATATATTAAACATATAATTATAATTCAAAAAATATCCAAACTAGTATACTAATATTGTTAGTAATACCAAGTACGACATAATCGTTAATCATACTTTATCAATACCTAATTGCCTACTGTCCATGACATGAGTAAAATATATTAGCAAGTGTTGGCAAAAACATATATTAGCAAATAAATAAAATATTTCCGTTTTACCAAAAAATTCACAATCGGGAACAAAAATTAATTTCTTCTGAAAAATTGCCCGAAGAATCAACTTTAAAGTATTGACTCAGAACCTAAAAGCATCGGATGCGCATTAAAAATTAAAAATAATAATATTCCGATACTTTACAATAACGACTGAAATAACAGGTCACTATTTAAGTAAATTCTTTAAATAAACATTGAACTGTAAGTGGTTTTTCACAAAACTTTAGTTTAGACTCCTCTGTCACTATCGATGTTTACTATATAAAGAGACCAAAAGACGGGAATGCACCAATAAATGCCAATATAGATGAATGATAATTTGTTAAAAATTAACACGTTGACTGAACTATTCAATTTTTTTACCATCAAGACAACCACACATGATGTCAGTGAAAACTGACTATATTAATGTAAGGAACCTATTGAGAAGGTAAACAGTTACAAATAGTCATCTCATGATCATAAAGTTACACAGAAACAACAGTCAGTAAAATGAAACATGATTTTAGCAACCAAGCAATCAATAATACAAACAAGCTCTACAGCCACAGACGAACTTGCCTTTTTGGACATTAGTGACATCCACTGAAAACGAAAACAACCCAGTCCAAAACCTAACACTAACATCTAATAAAATGACGTAATATAAACAAAATGCTTGTAAAGAAAACAAATAATAATAATAACAACAATAACTGTACAAATCTAATCATTAAGGTAAAAAAGGATTTTTCCCCCCCAATGCAGCTACCGTCAGAACTACAACAACCACTTTCCCCTTTCATTTTCCTTTTTTTTTTTTTTTTGAAAAACCGAAATAGGATATTTTCAGCCAATATCACACTGCCTTAATGATCGTTTACTCAAGTGGGAGATGCATCAAGAATGTGACCCGAGGAGAGGCTTTTTTAAGTGAAGGTACAGATAAGTCTAACTCACAATAGCTCCTTGTCATAAAATGCAAGAAGTTGCTTCACATGATTGTGCCAGGCAGCTACGTTTTGCCCATCAACCAGGACCCAGTCAACCACAGTTGATGCTGGTTGCTCCCACCACTCATCAAGCTGAAGTAGCAGTAACAACTCAATTTTAGAAAGAAATCTTATAAATAATCATAAATATACAAATCAGATTATCATAATAGAAAATCTTATCAAACTAAGCTACTCTTATGTAACCTGAGTTTTGTCTTATCACCAAAAAAAAAGGAGACCTGAGTTTTGTCTAGAATGCATTTTCTCCGTTAGACTCCAAGGGGCATTAGTCAAATGCTTAGCCTAGGTTGCGTCTGATCTGGGCATACATCTAGAAATCTTAGGGAAAGTTCATACATGTTAGATGTTACCAGTAGGCTTTAGTGAAGTGTTACATGCGTGACAAGGAATAAATAAATAACTATATATAGTTGTACGTGCAGTTAGCATGCTCGAGTAGTTAGAGAGGAGAATAATATACATAGTTGTACTCTTGGCTATTGAAGTGTGAATGAGGCATCTTCTTTTGATTTCTTCTTCCTATCATTTTTTGGGTATCAGAGCTGACTCTACCTCAAGGCATTGCCGAAGAAAAGATCACATGAGAGACTAAGACTTGGAATAGGGGTTTGAAGAGAATATGGCACCATTGGACAGCACTTGATTGAAGCTGGACCAGAACTCAACCAACATCAATGATTTGGAGCAATTCGTAAACTGCATTGAAAATGCTATGGCTGAGGTCACATTAAAGGTATTGATTACAGCGACAGTGAATATGATGAACATTTGTTCCTGGCACAAAGATTGGTCAGGTGTCAAGTAATAATTGAGGACCTATTGCACTGCTTGGACCCAACAAAACCAATTCCTCAGATCGATTCGCTCAATAGCTCACAAGGAACTCAGAAGACATCCACTAGGGAGTCATGTGGAATCTACAAAGTTGAACGAAATGAATTTCTCTGGATGGTCTCATGGATGCTGCCAGTTCTTCAAAGTTGACAGCACATCTGTTGCCAGCAACTTAAGAATCTGAGTATCCATCTTGAACAGACAGCTCTGGAATGGCACATTGAACTTCATGAAGAAACATCATTCCAGGTAGCTCACATGGTTTATTAACATAGGGAAGGGTAACGTGATAATCAAAATTATGAATCTGTGAAAAGATGGTTCAGTTGCGGATTATGATGGAAAGTTTGATTAGTTTCTAATGGAAGTGGATGTTCCAGAGGACGTTGCCATTCACCATTACATCAAAGGCTTGAGAAAGGACATCCGGAAAAGCAAATTAATGTGAAGTCGGCTATTAATGTCAAGTCAGCTAAGACAATAGACACCATCCAGATGGCAAGTGCTCAAGAGGACCATATTGAAGTGTTACACGCCAATGCACCAGTCAGCAGAAGTTAATTGCTGTTTCCTTCTTCTCAATCCTTGTTTTCAGATTTCATCAAATGTTAACCTGAAAGTAAATTTATTCTTCTTCATTGAAGATGACATTGGACTCTGTTGGTATCCCAGGTTCAAAGATGCAGACCCTTGTTCTTGGTATGCCTCTGCTGTCACTTCCACTGGCAGTAGCACCTCCAAGCCTAAATTCACATCACGGAGAAGGGAATGGGGGATAAGAGAACACGAGGCGAGTGTAAGGGATCCAAGCAAGTCATGCTTGTGGCCCAAGATAAACTTGAAGAATAGTTCATGATGCCATGGAAGAAACGACAGCTGGTCTGGTTCAAGATTCCACTGATCCTCCTATGGCCACAGTACTTAATGCCAAGGCAGGAGCTTCAACACTAAAAGTCCTCAATCAAATCAAGAAGCAGATCACTATCATAATTGACATGGGCCAGTATGCACAACATCATGCATGTACCTTAAGTTAAATGTCCTCAGCTTGGCATGATACTGGACAGAGGCTCTAAACGACTAGCAAATGGAAAGCAGTTAGTGATTGTTAAAACATGCAGGGGCTTGGAATGGATGGTGGATGTTCATGAATTCAACACCGATATCCTGGTTATGCCTCTTGCCAGACTACTCTACCGTCACTTCTCTAGTTCCTTCCTCCATCGTTGCAGGCAAGGATGCTTTTTTAGGGTGGGCTATATGACATTTGCTAGAAGTCACCAGTACTTAGTAGGCTTTATTAGCGAAATGTTATAATTGCGGTAAGGAATAAAGAAATAACAAGAGTTTTAGTTAGCAGTCGTGGGTAGTTAGAGGGGAATACTATATATAGGTGAACCCCAGCCTACTGAAGTGTGAATGACACATTTTCTTTTGATGTTTTCTACCACAGTTGTAGTCTAAACAAGCATTTCTTTTATTAGAAAGAAACAAATGCAGTAGAATAGGAAGGAGAGCTAGTAAGAACCGGTGAGAACAGATACTTGGCATATGGTAAGTGATTTGGCTTCTGGAAGCATCACGGAATTGGGGTTTCTTTCTCAAGGCGGATAATGTGGCTGTTCTCTTGGTTTAAATTTTTATCAAATTATTGTACATAGTATATGTTTCCTTGGCATTTCTAAGAAAAATTTCTCATAAAAGGGTTTATAGGGGCAGTCACTCACCAAACCCCAGACATATTTGCATTCTTCCAAGCTTTTCTGAGCACTCAGGACTGCAGCCTTAAGTTCAGGCAACCATTTATCCACAACAGTTTTCTCCTGTTCAGCAGCCAAACTCAAAGAAAAACTTGTTGTCCTGCAGCATGTTACAAAATGTTGTTAGAATGGATGCTTTTGACAAATTCCCAAGGCTGTAGGAGATTTAAAAAAAAAAAAAATTCATATGAACCTTTTAGTCTTGCTTAAATTTTAACATTATTTAATTAATCAACAGAGGCAGATAGGAAAGGAAAATTAAGAGAAAGATGAGCAGAAAAGCAGCTCACCGTGCCACAGATAGCATAACACATATACATCTATATCTTAGATCAAAAGAACAGTTCGACTTCAAGTTAGAATCATGGGAGATAGCCACTTGACATTCAAAATAAACAGAAGGTCAAAACAAAAGGAAGAATGAAAATAGGAATCTTGCTGCAGGGAAAATTTCCTTGTACAAATTGGAGATGAAAGTAGTGTGCTCAAACGGAAGAAAACAGTTGAGGCCCATGCTACCTGGGCCCAATATATACTCCAAAACCAGAATATGAAGATTCATGGAGGATCTATGAAGCCAAAATCCTCAGATAAGATGAATTAGACTCATATTTACCTTTCATATTCCTGCTGAACTCGATAAGCATGGTTTAATAGTGCATGACCACTTTCTATCAAATCCTGCCGGATATGGACAAGATTAATAGCCTTTAACAAGTCTTCCAACACGCTAGCTTCTGAACTTCGAAGTTTTAAACAAAACTCCAAGGACTCCAGCACTGATGCTAGACCAGCATCTGAACCCCCTAAACCGATCCAATCAACATAGAAACATATCAGGCATTACGACAGCTTCTAACATGAGTAAATGCAACACAACAAAATGTGTCGTATTATTCCAAATACAAGAAAATGAAATAATACAAACCAGAAGCACGTATTTGAGACTCAAGAAAAAATACATCTTTCACTGTGTTTTGCTTCATTCTACCACTGCATTCCATATGCTATAATTATGTTAAATTTTCTCTTACAAGAAAAACTTTAGAATCCCAAATTAACTAATTGCTTTTTCCCCTCTCCTGCCGCAATTAGTCAAGCTATAACCCTCCAACATCTTCCAAAATCCTCCACCTTTCCTTTTCTATGTTCACCTATTGGGACGATCTTGTGGAAAAGCTAATTAAATGCAAATACTATCAATTTATTATTTGAACACACCTTTATATAGCATCCTCTATAAGGACTTATCCCACCTCCACTAGATGTACGGTTTTTTCTGGTCAGACCTACACTGCCAGATTTCTATCATTTTAATAGCATTGAATGTGGGCTCCATCAGAAGGAAAACTCCAAACTTAACAATGCTGCCCAGTCCCTATTTATATCAATAAGAGAGACACCCTTGAAACTTTCATGAACCAAATATCAAAGACAGACATGACCCTTTCCCGCAAGTCATTAAGAGGTTATTAAGGCACCGTTGGAAATTTTACCGTTCCTTTCCAATAAAATGCACCAAATCATAGGGAAGCTGAACATTACACATCTTAGCAATCTAACTTTCTTCCCACGTGAATTATCCTGGATCAATACAAATTGATCCAAATATTCTGGGAAACCCAAATCTGGCAAAGGATTCCAACCAACATATTCCAGAGCAAACAGACTACAAAGCAAGAAGAACCTTAGCTATACCATGTAGCATGGCTTTAACAAATGGCCATTTAAAAATTTATAATCCTTATTATGTTAATTTATAAAGCACTTGTGAAATCAATATATAAAATAAGTACATGGAAGTGAAAACAAGATCGATCATATCAAAGGAAAATCATTCTGGCAGAAGAAATACAAAGAATAAGATTTACTGAAAGACTACCCATTCATATCGCTTATGATCAACACATGCCACTTGAATTTCAAATAAAGAATTGTATACTCACCAGCAGGATACTGGAGGGCAGCTGATACACGACAGATTGATGGAATTGCAGAAGGATCCCGAGCACCAGCTCTTGTTGTCAAAATAGCTGCATTCATCTCAGCATTTGCAACTGCTTCCTGTCCACCAGCGCCACTGGTGCCCATGGCCTCTAGGAGTGCCTGAAGAAGAATCATTTAAGAAATAATTAGTTGAGGTACAACTAATTGCATGACTTCACTGATATTTAATGCAAGTCTCAGTGAAGCCCTAAAAGATGATAGCTTATAAAAAGCATCTTCACTTATCAAACACCATGAGCTAAGAATTCCGTTTCTTCATAGCTATTGTGAGTAAATCATACACACGAAATATATTGGCTTTTGGAGCATTTCAAACCTGTGGCGAAGAAGGAAGCATGTAAAGGCTATTATCTGGACTCCGATAAAAAGCAGAGACTTCTTTCTCAATAAGATCCTTTGCATTATTTGAAATCTCAACGACAACAGCACATGCTGGAATTATAGTGCTTGATGCATACTCCCTTGCTGCTAATGGCTGCTGACTCCAAAATGAAGCAGCATCCTGCAATAAGAAAGGTGGTGAAAGAAGAATATCAAATACAGTTGTTTACAATTATTTTGAATAAAAACCAACAAACAACAACAATTACGAAGTGGCTTTACTTAATGAAAGTGAATAGAATCAAAGAAGATGCAGGGACAAATTTTCTTGGCTTCCCAAATACTCAGCCCTCACACATATCTAAAACCATTCTGATAAATAAAGAAATTGTAATTAAAGAGTTAAAATTGTTGAGGAAAATAAATCTGAATCATTAAAAAAAAAAAATACAACCATGTAACAAAATCCCTAAGGAGCTAATTGGATTAGTAGAGCTGTTAAAAATTTCTTTGCATATTAGAAACAAAGGTTTCCTCGGATAAACCATAGATTGACAACCAAAGAGTAGTCATATAGACAATTTCATCCCATAGCATGTTTGAAAGGCGAAGATATGCCCTTGAAATTACAGGCACTCCTCGACAAAACAAACCGTAGATTCCCATAAACTGCATATTGCCACTTAAGTATTGTTATCCTGCTTGCTACGAACTCCTGAAAAATGTTTTGGAGAAATTGATCTCAAGTACTAGGACACGTCTGACCATCTCATTGAGCACCAAAGAGTTTATTCCAAATGTAACTCACTCATGGACAGAGAAGAGATGATTGGGCAAAGTTATTGACTCAGATGTGCACAAAACATACACCTCGGGAGAAAGACCCTCAAGGGGCTATCAAACATGTCACACGTCAAAAGTGTTTATCCTATTGATTATCATTGTCCCAACAAAGGATTTTTCCTTTGGAGGAGCTTTGGATTTTCAAATTGGCTTATTGAGAAAAAATCTTTATCTTGTAGGAGAATGAGTAAGGAACTGAAAATAACATTAGCAAAAGAGAATAGCAAAAGGATTAAGATTCTAAACTCTCATCCTGACTTAAAGAATTAATAAAACCAATTCAAGAAAAGCAAGACTGAAGCTCATTGCTTTTGTTATCATTCAAGCTTCTTAAAGAATGGAGATTCATAGATTGATTGGCATTAAGAATAGTAAAGAAAATTTTGATCGGAGAGCTGTGCATGGTACAAAATAGATAAAGTGAAGAATGAACTTCAAAAAAGGGAATTTCTAACCCAAGTATCTTCCCAAAATCCTATTTTTGGGCGATCACCCAATTTTAGAGAAAGAAGTGGCATAGAGGAGGCATATCCTTTTAGGTTTATGCAAGGATTGGCACAAGCCACATTCATTGCAATGCTGGCATCCCACCCGTTCAGGTTTATGCCACACTAACTTCAAATAATCTTATGCCATACAGCAGTTACCTACAAAGGGAAATGACTTGGCCATTCAGTTGACAAGGCAGTGCCTTTAGACACAAGATTTCAAGGACCCAAGCCCATTCTTAGGTCTGCAACAGACTCCACAATTAACTAGGTTAACTTTGTTATCTCCCTTATCACTATCTGATACATAGCATGGTCTACGCTAGCTGGAATTTCAAGACCTACATCTTCTTTTACAAATTTGAAATTCACATGTCATATTAATGCAGCAATGTTAAATGGATGAATCTATTATCAAACATAAGGGAGAGAGGAAAAAAAAACTAGAGCTAATCTATGGATACAAGAAAGGGTTGAGGCCTTGAGGGTACTATGATCAACCAAGGATGATAAAATGTAAAGGATGTTTCATTATCACTACTACTCATATAAAAGCAAGAAACACTAGAATAATGAATGGAACCTACCGTATTGGCCTTTAGCAGTGCTGTGTATATTGTCTCAAGTTCTGATCGACGAGCATCAAATTCTTCAATCTTTTTCCACTTTTTTTTAAGAGAATCTTCAGCTTCTTTCCTCTCAGCACACAATTTATTCAAGCGTTGTACTTCAGACATCAGGGTATTTAAGCTAGCTTTCAAACCAGCCACTTCTCTTTCCTTCACCCATACATCCAACTAAATACCAGAAGACAAATGAAGAAAAGGCAGACGTATAAGTAATTAATTCATCATAGACATAGAAATCCCAATAAAATCACCTGGTTTCCAGAATATTAGAATTTATTGAGAAAATCAACTTTCAGAATCTTCTTCGTAAGCACAGTACAGAAAATCATAACCAACCACATGCGAGAATACCTTACCAAAAAAAAGTTCTCAAGCCCGTCTCAATCTCAAGAATAAAAACATAGGCAAAATTGATCAATCAAAGGCATGCCAAAATCTTCATTAAGAAGCTTAGTCTACTGTTCATTAGATAGAAATTTGTAAAAGATTCACGAATAAATGGGATGTTATTAATAACTATGAAAAACCTCAAATTTGTAATAGAAACTTGCTATGTTTGTTTAATTACTAATCATTAGTTTCCTCTAGGGGGAAAACCTCAAATTGCCGAAGACTGCCAATGTTCTGCGAGGTGCTTCCAATACCAACTGAACTGCCTCCATGAAGACGTTTTATGAGCTTTTGACATAAGTCCCCAGCTTCAGCAGCCTTATTCAGCGCATCTTCAGTAGCCAAAAATTGCTGAACATGAGCTTTCTGTAAACGCAGAGAAGTTACGTCAATTGACTGCCTCCATGATTATAAGCAGAACTAAGAAAGGACAATAAGTAATTATTGGCAAGGCTTGTTTTCCACATAGAATCAAGTTATTTGACGGTTCATAAACTGGCTTAGTGACAGTTAACTATAACGTGCAAAAAGTTGTGAGAAAACACCGAACCTTATTGGCACATCCATTTATAACTTCAGGAGAAAGAACATGGTAACATGACTATGTAGATACAACAGCAGAAGCTCAAGGCAATAGAAAAGATAATTGGAATAGGAGGAACAAGATTAAAGAGCAAATTAGGTCTTAAGTTGTAACAAGTCCTTAGAAAGATAAAAATGTTAATTCCAGGAGAAGACCTGTCTCTCAAGAAGTTGATTTTGACTTCCTCCTGAAGGTACATCAACTCCAATTTTTTCATTCCCGCCAAGTTGATACTGTAATGGAGAGCTCCCATCAGGAGAGGAAACATCCATGACAATGTTATTTTCATATTTGTACCTGATTGAGAAATGCAAGTGTTGCATATAATCAACACCGCAATTAAAATTATTTCAGACAAAATAAATAAAACAGAACGTTCCTAGAAGGCATAGAAGTATTCCACATTCCATCCACAACACTGTACGGCTTGGCAGTATAGAACCAAAGGGATAAAACATGGAAATTTTGACAATAAACCCTAAAAGTTTAAGCAATGTCGACTATGAAAAAATGTAACAGAAACAATATCTAAAAAGTCATACATATATAAATGCGGATTGCAGAAACTGAGTCAAACTCCACTAAAATACTGATAGCTGATAAATTAAATAATCCAAAGTAACTTTGTAATTATTATACTAAATGTTTATAATCCTAATTTACGCATTATAATAAAGTATAATGATAATCTTTATGAAAAATCAATCATTAAAATCCGCTAATATCCCTATTAAACAAAACATATCCTTACCATTATAAATTCAAATTATTTATCATCTCATTCCTAAGAGGTCGGACTGAATGTTAGGAAGGGGAAGAGGGCCACATTTCTTAGTGTTGCACACTTTAGTTTGCTGTGTGATTTGCCACTTAAGCTTAAGTGACTTTTAAGAAAGTTACAACACAATGACTAATGAATTTGTGGAAGGTTCAAAACTCAAAAATTAGAACCACAGAGGCTTAACAAGAGCAACAACAAAACAAGATGAGAAAGAAGTTAAAAATATACCAAAAAACAATATGTATTTTGATACCTCAAGGTCTCTGCATCCGCTCTCACATCAATCTTCTCTATTTCTCTAGAAATTAGACTTTTGATCCGATATGTGTATGCAGTAAGTGCTTGAAGCAATAGAGGAGGGCTCTTTAGGCAATTCACAATAACAGCCCTAACCTCATCTGAAATTTCTCCATCAAAATCAAATCCCAACTTAGCTGCTTCTGATTGAGGATTCATGTGAATGCCACAACCTTCATAAGCAGGAAAAGTGTTCCTTATTTTTTCAATCATGTAAGAGGCAAGAGATTCACAAGCCTTTCTAATAGTCCTTTCCCTTGTAGTTTCAATAAGAATGACGTCATCCGAAGATTTACCACTCTTAACAGTAGAATAAACAGCTTCCTTTTCACTTTTGGTACTAAAACTATTGACCGTTTCAATAGAAGAATCAACACCTGACCTTTGAGCATCCCTTGCTTGATTTACAAAGTGACAAAGACGTTTATGATATTCAGCAAATATTTTTGCCGCTTCATCACACTGTCTATCATATGCCTCCAACATAACTTGCTTGTGCCTGCACAGTGGGTTTAAAACACCACGTTAATCATGTCAAGCCAAACATATTAAGCTTGTCCTCTATTTTCTTCTCTTTCTTTCAAACAGCTCATTAGCAAAGATGTATATATTTTTATTGAAACCAATTCCTGGCTTATTCAATTTTGGCATCGCAACATGGATGAGAACACATAATTTCAGAAGTTCATCCCAGCAAGCGATAAGATAATGCCTACACTCTTACGACTCCAATAATATAAAAAACGTGTATCCTAATTTGAGTTTGTTAAAGCTAGGTTTAACAAGATTTTATGGAGAGAGAAGTAAATGGTATATCACTAAGTACTTAACCATAAAGTCACATTCTTGGCAAGTTATGAAAGATCTCAAACCTGTAATTCGCCCGCTCATCAAGCATTCTCTTCCGCTCAGCCTCCTCCCTTGAAACCTCCAGCATCCTAGCTCTCAAATCCTTCCTCTGCCTCCTCACAATATTTCTCAACCTTTCCACCTCTTTCTCTGCCAAATCTCGCTCTTGCAGCGCAGCCTCTCGAGTCTCCGCCGCGCTCGAACTCTCTGCCAATATTTTCTCCTTTTTCCTCCCTTTACTCCTACCCTCTTCTTTTCCGGCACTCACCAAACTGCTAACACTGCCACCATGATCTGCATCACCGTGAACCGCTATGTTTCTCCGAATATTCTCCACAGTTTTCTCCGACTTCACCCGTGTTATCAAGAAATTCCAAACCGGAATCATGTTCCCACGGCAAATCTTCCGAAACGACTCAACCGATGGCAAATGCGATTTACTTGAGGCGCCATACTGAGACAAGGGCCTATACCCCATTTCCATTTGAAGCCATTCCAGTATTGCCTCTGGTTGAGCCACTGAGCTCAACGAGCTCTGCATTGCAAGTCCGGATTCAAAGGTCGGAAGAAATCGTAGGTTCTGAGACTAACCTCTCATTGACTCCAAATCACCCCCCCAAGGCTAACTTTCTTGAACCTGGTCCGAAATCAGAAGAAGAGAGATCATCTTCAGTATGAAACAGTAACAAGCGAGCACTTGCGAATTGCCAGATAATCGGTTTTTCTGATTCTTCGTTTAGAACTGAAAGAGAATGTACAGTGTCGGAGTATGTGAGCGATCAGAAAGAGAAAAGGGAAGAAGAATCGCAGATCTGACAAAAGCGGAGGTTTATGGCCGGCCAAGCAAAGCAAAACACTCTGAATCCGCGCTCGCTTGGTCGCTATACCGTCCCGTGCAAACAAGAGAGGGCGCTGCTTTATTCGTATTTGAGTTTGAAATTCGGGAATACTTAGGACTTATTTGAAATCATGTTCAAAAATATTTATAAAAATAATTTTACATAATTATTTTGTATTTTATAAATCACTATTGAAAAAACTGCTGATAAACTATTCTAAATAAACCTTCAGATTATTTGCATTTGGCGATGGTTAAAAATAGTATTGATTAATTTCTATTACTTTTTACCCCAAAAAAAGATTAATTTCTATTATTAAAATTTGCTCAAAATGATTTAGAATGGCTTGGAGAGAGATTAATATCTTACACAAGTTAAATGTTAAAACAAACCAAAATGGACCAAATCCTTTCCAAATCTGAAACTTATAAATAGAATGTGAGAGAGAGAGTATCTTACACAAGTTAAAATAGTCTGAAAAATGAAATATTTTTTAAATTTACACTTATTTAAGAATATGAATAAAAAATATAAAAATCATAAATAAGGTTAATTTTAAAAAATAATTAAATTTCCATTTGTTTATTTGTATTTTTTTATTGTTTGCAAATATTCATATATTTAATTAAAGTCAATTATGTTCGAGTTACAATGGAGTACCAGACGTGAGCAGTTCTCCAAACAAACATCTGAACATTTTATGTTAAGCAAAGCAACTTATACACAAAACCATCACCAATTTATTTCAAAAGTCGTTTGAACATTTTATGTTAAGTATAAAAACTTATACATAAAACCATCACCAATTTATTTCAAAAGATGACTAATATACAAGATCTGAGGGGGGATAACTCAATTTTTTTTATCTCAAAATATCCTCAAGCCATTTTAGATTGAAGACTCATTTTTATTGGATAGAGACCGTTAAAGTTAAAATCCTCTAAATGAGTGCATTTCCTGATATTCAAACTTATATTCTCCTCCTTATATGGTCAACAATTTTTTATTTTGTTTTTAGGAAAAATCAATGTTTTAATCTGTCAACTTTTAACTTACTTGGAACTCAGTGTTTTAAGTATAACTTGTTGCAACTCAATCCTTAAACTTTTAACTCAATTAAAACTCAGTCCCTATCTTTTCCTATTTTTAATAGGGAAAACTATATTGGAGATACCTATACTTTCTCTTAATTTTTAATTTGATACCTATGTATTTTTTCTTTTAATTAAATCATTTAATTTTACTTTTTTTTTTTGCAACATTAGCTCCTGTGAATTTGTTGTATTAGCATTTTTAATCTCTATGCAAGGATTGACAATATTAATAGAGTAAAATTAAAGATTTTAATTAGAAGGAAAAATAACACATAGGTGTCAAATTGAAAATTGAAAAAAAAAATATACGTACATCCAATATGTTTTTTTTTTTAATTTTATAAAATGATCCTTATTAGTCCTGCTCATAACTAGGTCATCCTATTAAGCACTGATGTCGCTGCCAAGTCACCATCTCTATCATCTTAAACTTCCTTTTGTGCAAGAAAGCTCATCGGACTCTCCTCTTTCAATATTCTTTCTTTCATTATTTCTTCATCTCTATCTATTGATCATCATTTCATACTCTATCTACTAAACTCTTCTATTAATTTTAATTAACTCCTCGCCATCATGAAAGAGGAAGATGAATTAAGATGAAATGCACATACCCCACAACTTGGACACTCTGTTTCTTAACTTGATTATGAGGAATTTTGGAACTCACTTGATCGCCCACACACAGTTCAATCATAGGGAGGAGTCAGAAGATTGTTATACAGCAAGTGCACTTTGGAAGGAAGGCAAGAGAGAAAATAGTATAGAGGGGAAAGAATAACGAAATAGCCTTATTATGCACACACACGGTCTTATAATCACACTACTATGCAGTTTTTCATCCGAAAAATACGTGCTATAATTGTTCCCTCCTATTATTTGGATGAATAAAGGGTGTTTTACAAACAATAACCCCAAACTCTTAATTAATTATATTTTAGACCTCAAATTTTATGGGTTTGGGCCTAATCCACCAAGAATGAATCAGGTCTAATCCAACATTTCCTACCCATATTTGGTGGATTAGTTGCTATAGCCCACTCTGTTTTTCTTTTGTTCATATTAAGTGCTTGTCATAGGCAAGACGTTGTTGTTTTAGATGTTCGTACTAGAAATCTCTTTTCTGAGACCAGTACAAGACAACCTTCTTAGCGTAGCTTTTACTTGATTTGTTATACCTCAGATGTCCTAAATTTACTTATGTGCATTCCTTATAGCTAATTTAATCCCTTTCGAGCTAATATAAGACTGAAATTTCCTTTCTTGTATGGATAGTATCTATACTTATGAAACTAACAAAAATATGAGGGACACATCTCAAACACTAGTATAGGAGTGTATACTTCAAGTAATCTTCTTTTCACCCATATATCATTTTACTATAATCAGCCGATTTCCTAACATAAAATATCAGATCACATTTGTCATAATTATAGGTTATATGCTAAAGCAGTAGGCATTGGAGTATATTTTCATGATAAAGTCAAAGTTAAAGGACATCAATTGAAGTGTTGTACTTTCCAGAGACTCACACAGCAATGAAGCAGGGATCTATTTGCTGATTTATTAAGCTCATACAATATGAATTGCATGCTACTGCATTACTCTTATACCATAAGAGTGCGTGTCAATTTCAAATTTTATTATTAACACCATACAAACTTGAGTCTAGATACTCCCACCATCTAAACCTAAATTCTTTATTCCAATCATCACATATGATGTCAATTTGTAAAGAATTTAATGTCTAGCCACAAGCATCATGAATTTGAGCATCCATGATTTGATCTACATTTATGTTCATTTATTGGATCTCATCTTGACTAGCTACACTTACACTTTAGTCAAGACGATTATAGTTTCTGTTTCTTTTCTATCCTATTAATGTAGCGACCGTTCTTTCAAAAACCTATTTAGATTATATCAAATAATTATTCGAAAGATTAACCATGATAGAAAAAAAAAAAGAAACCTTAACATTGTAAAATCACTATAATGGTTAAAAGGAATAAACTTATATCATGCAATACCAATCACTAACTTGGGCCTTGGACTTCCAAAGTCCAAAAACACCATTCAACTATTAACCCAAACAAAACTCATAATTTCAAACATATGAACTAATAAATCATTTTAAAATAAGTTATGGAGTCCATTAATCAAAATCAATGCTTTCAAAAGAATGTAACATGCAAAGTCTTAGAGGTCTCTAGCCTTTTAATGACCCTCCTCTCAAATAGCAGTAATCAAAATTATTAGTTTATAACATCAGAGTCGATGAGCCCTATGTGACAATATATAATAAGTCAGCACATAAAATAAAAGAAAAGAGGCTATACAAACTATAACAGCACACTATGCCTTTGAAGCCTTCCCTGATGGACTATCACTTGAACTATCATCTGAAGATAATAAAAACTACAGGGTAAGACAAAAGCCTCAATAACCAACTTTCCAACTCATCATATATACTAACAAGTACTCGTGAAGTGTCAAGTGAGATAGTTATTAATTCTCAAGAAATATAGATATATCAATAGAAATATAAAACACGTATATTAATATAATCTTAATCATCCAAGCCCTCACTATAGGGGCAATACACAAACCACATAAGTCAATCCCTCACTATAGGAGATTAATTAGACATATAGGCATATCCCTTACTTTGGAGGATGAATAAGAAGTCACAAAGGCATATCTCTTGTTATGGGAGGACGAAAGAAGCCAACCAATATGTACCAATGGCACCCTTACTACGTGACAAAACAGGACTCAACTCGAAATTCAAATATCAACTAATCATTCACGATATAATGAGAAATACCTCAATCTTTTTTCAGTATAATTCATAAGATATAAATAATATATTTTTCCAAACGACTTAGTCACAATTACAAAAGTCCCACAACATAATTTTCACAGCTTATAAAGTATAATATATCTACTCAAGTTCTAAATAGCGCATCATTATTTGAAAATAACAAAATATTCACAAATAACATATTAGCACATATAACAAGTGAAAAATGGTTACCTCTCGCCAAAGCAATAATAAGGATTGCCATAAGGCCAATCTCTTACTCAACCAATAATTAATTTACACAATTAATATGACCACATATTAATATAAGCTAATCAATTAATTAATTGAGCTTATATATTTTAGTTAAATTTCTAATTTAATTTAATTTCATTCCATTGTATAAAATTCTTAATTTATAAGTTAAGCTTCAACATCAAAAAATTGTCTAATAATATAAACTCAGCATTTTCAATATTTTAAACCAACTAAAATCTCAATAATATGTTAAACAACCCAAATAAATTATTTAACTTAATTTTAAGTGGTAAAAATATGATATATATCATATATAACAATTTTTTCAACTAGATAAATTAATTTAAATACTAAAACCAATAAATGGGCAAATCTAAACCAATTGAAATTAACTATTCATTTACCTCTAAATTCCTACAGTCATTTATTGTCAAAACTCAATACTTACTCTTTACCTAAATTTCAAATTTTCTCTAGTTACTATAGTAATACCATCATTAGAAAACTTAAAATATATAGAAAATATTTATAAAGAAAGTTTAATGAAAAAAAGTAATTTTATATTTCTAAATTATCTCCAAAACTTACCCTCTTCTTCACAAAAATTGAAGACCTGCTCCTTACTCTCTCTCATTCTCTTTTTCTTTTCCCTCTAGCACCTGGGGAAAGAAAGAACGAAGTGTGGGGGTATATATCACCCCTCAAACATTTATTTAGAAGGAGCTTCCCCCTAATAAATTTCTTCCAAACTTTCTATTGAAATTTCATTGGAAAGTTTTTATTATTAATTAATTAATTAATTATTATTTTAGTTTTTTTGGCATAAATCCTAGAATAAAATTTAGCATATTACAATCAATGTTTGTTACTGGTTTACTGATAAACATACAAGTCT